AACGAGCAAACGCTTTCGGCCGGCCTACCTCTGCAATTGCATTATAAAAGCTTTCGCACGTGGGTCCGTAGCTCGGCGGGGAGTGACCCTTTTCGTCAGACTTTTATCACTCATCAGACAACTTTCCATGACATAAATCAGTTTACTCACTTTTGAAGGTGATTTTTCCAACAACAAAAACATCCCCTTTTTCAAAAATCCAAGGGGTTCTCATCATGAACAAAACACCCCCTCTTCCAAAAATCACGAGGGGTCTCGCCACAGAACAAAACACCCCCTCTTTCAAAAAATCACGACGGGTCTCGCCATAAAACAATACACTTCCTCTTCCAAAAATCTTGAGGGGTCTCGCCATAAAAACCAAACTTTCCCTCCTCAAAACTCGAATGGGTCTCATCTTAACACAAAACATCATAAAACATCCCCTTTTCCAAAATCCAAGGGGGCTTATCATAAACAAAATCACTGAGAGACCATCTTATGGATCCTCATCACAACTTAGGCAATCAATAATCAACATGGTAAACATTTTGAGCCTCCAGGGCTCATAGACTGTCTCTTATAAAAAAAAAAAAAAAAAAAAACGGAGATGATTTTTTTTTTTTTTGATTTCGATGTAGGGTGTATTGGCCCACATTCCTAGTTTTTTTTTCTCTCTTTCCCTACAGAATCGAAAATAAAAATAAAAAAGTAAAAATAAATAAAAAAATGAGAAAAAAAAGTGTGTTTGTTTTTTTGTTCTTATGTTTGATTGGCACACACACACACACACACACACGTGCGCGCACGCCCATACATACACACACACACACACACACACACACACACAAACACACACACATGCACACACACACACACAAAAACACGACGTTGAAATGTCTATTTACCACAATTCACTGAGAACCGCGATGATTTGTTCCAAGGGCAAAGACTAAGCAGAAAACAAAATAAAAAATACAGGGTTGTACAAGGTTGCCAAGTCGAACTTACAGAGGCCCCGAAGCTGACTAACGAACGTTCGGGCGTTCGGTTCCCCGTACGAAGCTCGAACCTGAAGTGGTCTGGACCCCGCAAAAAACTATTTCGACATATAAATATTATTGTTTTTTTCTGAAATGTTTTCTGTAAGCTGTTTGTGATGTAAGGTATTCCTCTCTTAATTTTCAAGTCATTCTGTTCAATGTTCATCCCAACAAAAATGACAAATCGACAAAGATGGTGGTGTCAAAACTTGCTTGCCCACCCACTAATTTGTTTTTTTTCTCTTTTCACTTTTTGTTAGTTCCTTTATTTTATGGCATGAAAAATATTATTATTTTTTCAAACTTTATTTGTAAATAGTCCATTATGCAAGATACACATGCATAAATTTTCACGGCATTGTCACACAAAAAAAAAAACTGAAAAATTGCTAAAGATGGCAGTGTCAAAAACGTACTTGCCCACTCAATAATTTCATTCTCGTTTTATTTATTCTAATTTTTTTTATTATTATTTAATTTTAATATTTGATTTTTTTTTAAATTCGGTATAGAATTTGGATAAAACGTTGAGGGAATCTTGTTTAGCTTATTCTTCTGCATAACATATATTTTTTCTCAAAAGTTTTGGATTTTTTTTATTTTTTTATTTTTTTTGTTCGAGATCGGCCGAACGGCCATTCGCGTCGAGAGGGGTTGCCGAACGTTCGGGCGTTCGGGATCGCGCATTCGGCCTGTCCCGAACGCCGACAACCCTAGGGTTGTATACATTTTTTAGATCTATAACCACATTTTTTTTTTTTTTTTTTTTAAACTTCAAATATAGTTTTCAGAAATAAAAAA